ATTCATATGTAACAACAAAAAAATCTAGGTCCAAAGCTATTTTCTGAAAAAAAGAAATTACACTGATTTATATACCTTTTCATTTTCAGTGACTAATTTTCACAAAATGACAGTAAGACGATCAGGTAGAAAACATGACTGGCACAGGTATGATAAAAATGCTAATGTGAATGAAAAGACTGAATAAGGGGAATAACCGAGTAAAACTGGTGTAAGGAGTGCCAAGGCCCAAGCTTAGTGCTGAGAAGTCTTTGTGGTGGTACCTACACCAAAGTTGTAGAATGCACGGCAGCAATACTCAGCACAAAGGTGAAGGCATAAGAACAAAGAAGGCTTAATTTAGTTTTAGGATTTTGCTAAAAACTTCAACTATGTTGAAAGACACAAGAGGCAATTGTGAATGTGATCTAACGTGACCTATTATGAAACCCAAGCTTGATAGGGAAGAAAACACAGAATTTTTAAAGACTGGCAGAAAATGGAGGGCTTAAAATGGATTGGAAGTCAAAGAACAGCATAAAAGGGAATGAGGCTATGGACATGTTAGTGCTAGGTGTATAACGGCCTGAAAATTACTATATCTTTTTCCTTTTTGTTTGTTTGTTTCTTTTTTTTTTTTTGAGACAAGGTCTCACTTTGTTGCCCAGGCTGGAGTGCTTGAACTGCTGGGCTCAAGCAATCCTCTTGCCTCAGCCTCTTTTTTTTTTTTTATTGAGACAGTCTCACTTTGTAGCCCTCAGTAGAATGCCATGGCATCATAGCTCACAACAACCTCAAACTGTTGGGCTCAAGTAATTCTCTTGCCCCTGCCTCCCAAGTAGCCGGGACTATAGGTGCCCACCACAACACCCAGCTATTTTTTTTAGAGACAGGTCTCGCTCTGGCTCAGGCTGGTCTCGAAACTGTGAGCTCAGGCAATCCACCCATCTCGGCCTCCCAGAGTGCTAGGATTATACACATGAGGCACCACACCTGGCCCCTTGCCTTAGCCTCTTGAATAGGTCAGACTACAGATGTGCTCCACCACAGCCAACTAATTTTTAAAAATATTTTCCAGAGATGGGGGGGGGTGTGTCTTGCTATGTTGCCTAGGCTGGTCTCGAACTCCTGCCTTCAAATGATCCTCTTGCTTCAGCCTTTCAAAGTGCTGGGTTTACAAGTATGAGCTACCATGCCTAATGAACTAATGAATTTCTGATGCTGAAAAACTCTGGGTTGCAGCAAGGTTCACGGTGTTGCCAGGGTGTAGGTAGAAGACGTGTCTAATGTTTGGCAAAGAGCAATATACCAAAGTTTAGGTCAAACAACTAGGAGGGGAGGGTAATGAATGGATTTCTTCATATGGACACATTATGTTACTGTTTGGGGGGAGGGGAACAGATAGTAAATCAAGTGTCCAAGACTCACATGAATCCAAAGAAATGACTAGGGGTCCAGGGAGAAAGGACAAAGGATCACATGCAATAATGGTTTGGGAAGGGCACTGAGGGACTAGGACCATTACTATCTGGCCTCCTGGCCCTATATTAACAGGGTGTGGGAGAGAGAAAAGTCCTCCACAGAGGGAAAATAGCATCCTTTGAGGACAGCTAAAACAAACAAACAAAAAATAATTAAAGGAAGAATGGAAGATTTTGAGATTTGTTGCCTGTGATTCCAGAGCACATAATAGAAAAGTCTGGGAGGAATGTTAACAGATGCATCAAAATTGAGGGAAGTATGATAATGAGATTATGGAATAAGACATTTAACAAACTTAATGACCTAAGATAAACCTAATTCCATGAAATAATGGGAGTTCAACTGTGCTTGACGTACTTGTGTCCTAAAATAAAGTGTTCCTGGTTAGAAAGCCCTCATTTAACTTTTAAACATGTTTCTAAAGATGGTAAATGGAGGTACTTAAAACTCCCTAGATTACTGAATGCTTAACTTTGATTAATGTTAACACATACTTGGCACTATTTCTGAAAAATAATCAATGAATTTCAGGTTAATGAAAATCATTTCAATTTATTTCAAATCTAATATACCTTCCCATTGAGAAAATATACCAATCTATCTCAATAATGTGAACTAGGTGTCCTCTTCCTGTCCCCTCAGTGTGATCTGTAATTATCAATTTATATCCAGAAGATGGCATATTAAAAAGTTTTAGAAAGCCTCCTCCTACAATTTCAAATCAGAAAAAAATGACTGAAATCTAGCTAGAAATATAGGGTCTAAATTCTTTGATTTTATACTGAATAAAATATTTCAGCCCAGAAGTACATGTATCTACCTTGTATTCCAAAAATATAAAACTTATCCCACTCATATCACATCACACCTAAATTAAACTACTTTAAAACAGACTTTTTTCTCAATCTCTCAAAATTCATATCTAAAAAGCCTTAAAAGTACAATTGGAACGTGGCATATGTAATTGCCCTTGGCCCCTACTATCACATCATAGCTAGATGTTTAATACTAAAACTATTATAGAAGTACTATACTAGCCTTTTCTGCCTGTGGACGCTGCCGAGAAAGCATCGTTAAAGTCTCTTCCCACCGCCGTCATGTCTAAGTCAGAGTCTCCTAAAGAGCCTGAACAACTACAGAAGCTATTCATTGGAGGGTTGAGCTTTGAAACAAGTGATGAGAGTCTGAGGAGCCATTCTGAGCAATGGGGAACGCTCACAGACTGCGTGGTAATGAGAGATCCAAACACCAAGCACTCCAGGGGCTTTGGGTTTGTCACATATGCGACCGTGGAGGAGGTGGATGCAGCAATAAATGCAAGGCCATACAAAGTGGATTGAAGAGTTGTGGAACCAAAGAGAGGTGTTTCCAGAGAAGATTCTCAAAGACCTGGTGCCCACTTAACTGTGAAAAAGATATTTGTTGGTAGAATTAAAGGAGATACTGAAGAACATCACTTAAGAGACTATTTTGAACAGTATGGGAAAATTAAAGTGATTGAAATCATGACTGACTGAGGCAGCAGCAAGAAGAGGGGCTTTGCTTTTCTAACATTTGATGACCATGATTCTGTGGATGAGACTGTCATTCAGAAATACCATACTGTGAATGGCCACAACTGTGAAGTAAGGAAAGCCCTATCAAAGCAAGAGATGGCTAGTGCTTCGTCCAGCCAAAGAGGTCGAAGTGGTTCTGGAAACTTTGGTGGGGGTTGTGGAGGTGGTTTTGGTGGAAATGACAACTTTGGCCATGGAGGAAACTTCAGTGGTCATGGTGGCTTTGGTGGCAGCTGTGGTGGTGGTGGATATGGTGGCAGTGGGGATGGCTACAATGTATTTGGTAACGATGGAAGCAATTTTGGAGGTGGTGGAAGTTACAATGATTTTGGCAATTACAACAATCAGTCATCAAATTTTGGACCCGTGAAGGGAGGAAATTTTGGAGGCAGAAGCTCTGGCCCTTATGGTGGTGGTAGCCAATACTTTGCCAAACCATGAAACCAAGGTGGCTATGGTGGTTCCAGTAGCAGCAGTAGCTACGGCAGTGGCAGAAGGTTTTAATTATTATTCCCAGGAAACAAAGCTTAGCAGGAGAGGAGAGCCAGAGAAGTGACAGGGAAGCTACAGGTTACAACAGATTTGTGAACTCAGCCAAGCACAGTGGTGGCAGGGCCACAATACTCATGTGTATGGGCAAAAAAACTCGAGGATTGTATTTGTGACTAATTGTATAACAGGTTATTTTAGTTTCTGTTCTGTGGAAAGTGTAAAGCATTCCAACAAAGGGTTTTAATGTAGATTTTTTTTTTTGCACCCATGCTGTTGATTGCTAAATGTAATAGTCTGATCATGACACTGAATAAATGTGTCTTTTTTTGAAAAAAAAAAAAAAAGTACTATACTATAAGGAATATAAAATTCAGATTATTTGTGACTCAAACTGTGTCTATAAACCTGCTAAAGTGATTTTATAAGAATGCATTACTTTCCAATATACCAGAAAAGTTAACTCTGGGTTTTCTTTCCATTTAATGCCTTTCTAAATATGTATACAGATTTCAAGAAATATTTAAATGCATAAACACATAGCTAAATCAAAATTGAAGTGTCAAAAATATTTACAACTTTTCAGACAAATCTGTAACTAATTATAATTAAATGTTTATAAACTTATAAGTAAACAAATTCTAGTTTCTATTACTTACATGTAGCTAGTTATTAAACTCAATCTTTCACAAGCATTAGACATTTAACTTATAAAGTTAAACCAGAAGATTTTCTAAAAAATTTAAATCCTAATAAACAGTTACATTTGCTTATGCAGTTGAAGACTTCAGAATAAGAAAACATCATAAAATAAATTTAAGGAGTACTAATAGAAAAAGCAATGAAAGTAATTAAATAACTTTAAATACTTTATTTATTTATTTTGAGACAGAGTTTTATTCTGTCACCCTGGGTAGAATGCCATAGTGTCATAGCTCACAGCAACCTCAGACTCCTGGGTTCAAGCAATCCTCTTGTATTGCATCCCAAGTAGCTGAGACTACAGGTACCTGCCACAACACGTGGCCAGTTTCTCTCTATTTTTAGGAGAGATGGGGTCTCACTCTCGCTGAGGTTGGTTTCAAACTCCTGAGCTCAAGCAATCTGTCCACATCAGCCTCCCTGAGTGCTAGGATTACAGATATAAGCCACCACCACACCCAGCAACATTAAATACTTTAAAAACCATTTTTAAAAGTCTGACTCAAAACAGTGTCCTGGTTTATCAAATTAAAGAACATTTATATTACCCAATGCTATTTAGCCCTTTAAATATTCTGGAGAGTATTTAATGAAATATGATTTGGCAAAATGTCCACAATACAGAATATGAGCACAGCAAATTCTCTATATAGTATGATCCTACTTTGGCATAAAAATGTGCACCTTTTGAGGATTAAAGGTAATTTATTTTCTTCAATATTCTTTTCTATGATATATGTTAGTTATAATAAAAAAAACATTTAAAATCATAAATTCATCATGTTCTCTTACCTGAAGGTACTAGAGAATCTTGTTCAATAATTCTTGCAGAAGCCAGATCACTAATAATATACTGTAACCTTAAATGTCTGAATACTGGCACAAATGGTTTTCCTTGCTCAGTTTCGAGGAAGGTCATACCTTCAAAATCTATAAAAAAAAGTTCAATTAAATATCTATTCTTTTATAATCCACTGATTTGTTTTATTACTAAATAAATATCCTAAATGTTTTTATAGATGAGAACAAAAACACGCACATATACACATTTGTATTAGAATATAAATAAGTTAATTTGAAAGTTTTCAAGAATTTTGTAAACCTCAAGTGTATGAATAAAAACTTAGGGAAATTTTTTTAAAAGCACTTGGAAATTAAGGTTGGTCTTACTTAGACCCTTGGGCTGGGAACTCAGCTGTATACCTTTCTGGAGTTGGGAGTTTAGAGTGCAGCAAGATGGGAAAGGAAAGCTTGAGAAAGGTACTTGGATTGTCTCTCCAGAATCCTCTCTCCCAGAGACTGAAAATTCAAGTGAAACTCCCGAGCCCAAAGCCTCACTGAAAAGTCTTCACG